TGTGGGGAGTTTGGAGGGAGGCCCTTCATTCACCTCGGAAGAAGAGATCACTGCTCCGACTCACCCCGATGAGGATACACCGTCGGCGTCACGTGAAAGTGTCTTACATATCTTCTTTGGAAATATTCGGGCTGGCCAAAAAGAGGAACGGAACCATGTGACAGTGACGAACGTACTTTGGTACGATCACTGCTTCAGTGCCACTGAGGTTGGAGCAATGGAGGAGGCGAAGAAAGTTTTGCAACCGCCTTCAAAGACTGCTTCTCCCAAAGAGGCGACGCGTCCTCCCCAGGACGTGTCTGTTGATAGAGAAATGAGTTCGTCTTCGGGGAAAGGAACGACGTCACACGATGCACCAATGTCAGACAAGAAAAAAGATTTATACCCGTCCGCGCAAGACCTTGCGAAACCACCAAAGGGGCAGGATACTGGTGACGTTTCTTTAACTGGGTCGCTGGTTGGAGTGTTATGGTTGGCTTTGCTTGGGCTCTGGGGCTTGTCAGTTCTTTTGTGACCAGTGGAGGTGGTGGGTTGCGACACCCAGAAAAATCAAATATAAGCCTTACAAATTAATTACTGTGCTTTGAGGAGTTTCTTTTTCTTTTCTTTTTTTTTTCTTTTTTTGGGAGCTTGTGAAGTGAATAATCGCGAGGCAAGCTGGCTATCTAATTTAATATATACTTATATTCTGATCAAACGAACTCTGTACGACCATTTTCCCCTAATTTATGATTTTTTTGGTTGACCGCGATTCCAGGAATCAAGGGAATAATAATGTCTGGACGACTTCTAATTATTTTGGTTTTTATTTTATTTTGCCATCAACCTTTTTTTTGATTCCCACGTCGCGGCGGGCTCTTTTGGCTGGAGGACCCCAAAGTCTTCCACTTCTTAAGTAATAAATAACTAATATGTAATTTATATTTATATATCCAATCCGAATGGAGTGAGCGGATCACGGTTATGACTACCGTAATATATGTATATATATATACACTTATATATATTTTTCATTGGTTTTAGACTTTGATGATGCGGTGAATCCCCACTCTTGTTCCATTTATCCATTTCTTATCTTGTTTGGTTTATATTATTGACAAACTGCGGTATTCGGCCAGCGGCCCATAAGATTATTCTGCTCCTTTAGCCCCAAAGCACACACAGTGAGACGGGACCGGCGGTATTTCGTGCGCTGCGTGGATGAAATGGCTGATGGGCAAAACGACAAAACGCTGAGATGCCCTCATTGAAATATAAATAACGCTTGTGTATGATGAGATTTAATGGAAATGAAGCAAATGTATCTTTGTTGTTGTTTTTTGTTTTTGCCGGTAAAATATAATTGGCGATGTGGTGTGCGTGGAAAATGGAAATTGCCGAATTTGATTTTTCTTTTTTTTTTTTTTTTTGGTAATTTAAACTGTTTGTGCTCTTTTCCAGGTTTTTTTGTTTTTTCGTTTCTATACTTTCATCTTGCCTCAGTGCAGCTGGAGCCGCAGTACCGCGTCCAGCATTTCATTGAAATGGTTCCTTCTTCTTTCCTTCCATGCCGCGCGCATTTATTTCCGGCGATTTGCATCCGCTCTTTTTTTTTTTTTTTGCGTTCTTAAAAAAAGGGTAAGGCGGGAAGAAAGGGAATACGTGTGGCGGGTGAGGGACGCTCCAATAATGGTGTCATTTCTTTTCTTGGCTTGTGTTTTTATCATGTTCCAGTTGTTTTTTCCGTTCTATTTTGCTGCTGCAACACGGCTCAACTCGTTCACTGTGGTTGTTTTGGAGGATCAGGCGGCTGAAGCACTTCGGAAGGCACCTGACGGCGCATTCCTTCAAACCCCCTCTTACCTTGTACAGCTTTCCTCCCACTGGACGGTGGTGGAAAGAAATGTGTTTGGCGGGGACTCACCGGACGAGGAGGAAAAAGGAGGGCAAATGTTGCACTGCCGCTTGCCCCGTCCACAAACCCAGGAGATGGTGGCCTCACTGGAGAAAAGTTACATGAAGTTTCACCAGGGGCGGGTGCGGGCGGCCATCTGGAAATGGCTGCTGGACTTAACCCACAGGGACGGCTGCGTGTTTGGTGATGGCGAAGGGACGCTTACTGGGGTCTCTGAATGGTACTTGTTTTGTCCGCATGGTCTAATTCGAAAGGTGAACCGGACTGCTGTGGCAGCCCTCTATGACGTCTCCCCGTCAGAATTGCCACGGGTCGTTAAAAAATTGGTGCAGCGATACCGTGGCAGTGGCGAAAAGATGGGATGCGGAAACGCATTGGACAAGTGGACTTCTGTCATTGGAAAGTACAAAAAACACACAACACAGCCGTACTGGGATGCAAATCGAAGGGCCTGGGGGCTCACTTATCCAAACGATCGAGTTTGTGTTACGGGGCGGGTGAATGCGTCGGCTGAAGGGGAAACAAAAAGAAGAGAAGACACGCGTGTAGAAGCAGGAAGGGAAATGTGGGAGACTGTGGTTCGTTTATACTGTCGGCGAGGGCGAGGAAGCAGCCCGTTGCAGGAGTGGACTGTCACAGAGGTGCGCCAGTCGTGCCTGTATGAAATTGTTTTATTATCTCCGGTTGTATGCGAATGGGAGCAAAGGATGGAACATCTTGGGGTGAATCCCATCCCTTGCATCGTCGTTTGAAAGAACACACAAAGTTTGCTGTTGTTTTTGTTATTGTTTTTTTTTTTTGCTTTTTTTTGGGTGGGTGGCCCGCATGTTTTTTGAGGGATGGAGTTTCACTGTTTTTGTTGTTGTTGATTTTCTTTTTCTTTTTCTTGGGTTCTTGAGAAGAAGGCGGGATTAGTGCTGTTGCTTCCGTGTTTTTTTTTTTATTTATTTATTTATTGGCGTCTTCGGCGACGGCGCAATTGTGGGTTTGGCTGTCGATGGATGTGAAGATGGGGGGCGACGACAAGAAAGTGGAATTGCCGTTGCTGAAGTTCAGGCTTCCAACGACGCAGCCGCTTTCAAAAATCCTCAAACCCGATGCCCTTGACGGCGAGTTGCGCCGAAAAGTTGTCCGCAACATCACCGGAGACGTCGCACCTGCGCGCGATGATCGCCGGTCGCCCAACAAATGGGTGGTGCCGTTCACGCGGTCGAACCAAGAAGGGAACTACCCGGCAACTCTTCGCGATCAGGTTTTTAGTGGCGACGGCGATCTTTTGGGCGCCATGGCAAAAAGACTGAAAATTCTAGAGGCGCAACAAAATGCCTACCGTATGGAATTAAAAGAGAAGACCGAGAAACTCCTGTGCGTAGAGGCAAAATACAAAAATGAAAAGGCAAGGCGAGAAGAGGTAGAGGCGATGGTTGTGGAGATCTACGACGATAAGGAAGAGTTGGAAAAACTAGTGGGAGAGATGCGGAATTTTCTGAGTGACTATGGACTGCAGTGGGTGGGGGACAAAGGGAGAGAGAAGGCGAAAAACAAAGGTGCCAATTCGCGAGTGTACGGGATCGCAGACAATGCCAAACGAAAGGATTCTCCGTCACCAATAACTGCCACTTCGCGGCCGTTTGAAATGTATGAGGGAGATTATGAGGACAAGACACCAATGCTCTCTTCTATTCCGGTGCCAATTACGAGCCCAACCAGTGAAAAAGATATGCCGAATGATACCACAGAAGGCAAGATGGTCCCCTGTACAACAACTGGTACCTCTACTTTACCTTTTTCCATGGAGATTCTCAAAAGAAATGCAAAAATTCTTTCGGACCATGTGGGTTCTCGAGGTGTTTTCACAAATGGTAAGCAAGGTGGGATAAAGGAGCATGAACTGGTGCGTATTGTTGTGTACCAAGATGGTATTTGTGTTAACGGTGGCCCCTTTCGACCATTTGGGTGGCCATTATGTGACGCCGTGTTAAATGATCTTGCGGAGGGTTTTTATCCGTATGAATTTAAGCAACGATTTCCTGACGGATTCCCCATTGAAATTATTGACCAAACCTCCGTTTGTTTCTCCAAGAGTACGGTTGGTGACAAGAGTGTTGGTAAGGTAAGGGACCTTCGGAGTTTACAGGAGGGTAAGAACTGCCAGCCTGTATCCCGAGAAGAGTTTTTGAAACGATTGCCGGCTACCCGCATCACAGGAAGTGGTCAGATCGTCCATTTACGAGAAGCGATTGCACAAATTGTTGGTGGTCCCACCGGAAATGGCACCTTGAGACATGTTTCTGAAGCCGAAAGAAAATTGGTAGGAGAGATGGAAGAAACTGAATTTAAGAGCGGTGGAGCGGCTGTAGTGCCAAATCGCATCAAGGGACTCGTTGCGGTGCTAGTGCGATTTCCATCTGGAGAAAAGGTTACATTACATTTGGCACCAGAAAACACTATAGCAGATCTCCGGCGGGAACTTCAGTTAGCCGTTCCGGGATTCAAAGCTGCATATGATGTGCGTTTGTCCTTTCCTTCTGTAACATACACGGATGACACGAAGACTCTGCGGGAATTGGGTCTTTTGACAAGTTGCACGCTGATGATTCAGCCTCGGAGGCACGCGTAGGCTACTTTTGAAATCGAAACAAAAAGGATTTATTTTGCTTTCTTTTTTTCTTCTGCGTGTCCCCCCCGTCTTCTCTTCTCTCTTTATCTTCATGCGCGTTTTTGTCTAATTTTATTTCATGGTAATTCTACAGTCATTTCGAGTTTTATTTTGCTTGTTATATGAGTAGAACAAGAAGAAACATGTTTATATGTATCTCTTCTTGATGGTCGGTGATGCTAGTGCGTTAGAAAATTGCAATAGTCCCCTCGACTCATCTTTTTTTTTTTTTTTTCATCCAGTGTTTGAATATTTCAACTGCAATATCTATGGATTTGTGGTGGGGTCATTTGAGGCGTGGCTTCCGCTGTCATTTAATTTTTCTCTGTTCTTTCACTGTGGTGGGGTTTTTTGTTGTTGTTTTCCGTTGTTTGGATTTTTTTTTGTTGTTTGTGATGGTTTCTTCTTGGGAAGTGGGCTGCGGTGGTGAAGAAGATAAGGCGCAAAATGTTTTGCAGGTCTTTCTGGCACCGCAATGTTGCCGGGGTGATGGCTGCCATCAAAGCAGGGAAACACGAGGAGACTCTCTTGGAACTGAACGAAACGAAGCGTTTGCGGAAAAATGCCAAGGATGTAGACTACTGTCGTGCCTTGTGTTTTTTGTTAGGCGAGCATGATGCGTTGCACGCTCGACAGGCTCTTCTAGAAGAATTGCGCTACTTTCCTGAGAATACCGCGGCTCGCATGCTATTGTACGACATCAATGGTAGGGTTCGTTCGTCCCTTCTTCCTCCTGTGGAGGTCACTAAACGTGAACCCCTCTTCGCTCTACTTTGTGATGCTCTTTTAGATCACACAATGCTTACATGGACACGGCTTTATGGTTTGTATCGCTTGGCAAAAGAGGTATGCTGTAGAGATCAGAAGGGTGTTCTTATGGAATGCGGCGTTGCTGGTGGGGGATCCGGTGGTGCTGCTCGCAGTAG